TTTCATCCCTTAATCTCAATTAGGAGGGGAGAAGTGAATTTTTAATTCGCGAGCGAATGGTGAAAAGTCACTGTGCGCCGAGAAGAAAATTATTTTTCTCACTGGCCCATGACTTTGTCGTAGTTTGTATTTTTTTGTTACAGAGATTAAGGGATGCAACAGGGATCGATTGATGGGGAATTTAATTCTCCGTCACACCCTCTGTGTTTCATTCCTTAATATTAATTAGCCAGCAAATGAATCACCTGAAAAACATTAAGAACATGCTGAGGGCGAGAAGGACATAAATTACCCTCCGAAACTATCCCTGTGACAGCGGGACTGCTACTGCCGAGTTACCCGCACAGGCAGTTCGCCCAGCCATCAGATTCGACTGTGGCGGCATCCCTCCGTTGGGGTCGAACTACTTTTGGCTTGGGGTCAGTCCAACCCCGAGATCTGAGCCTCTACTTTAGTCAATCCTCTTTGCAATTTGCTATCGATTGGTGATAAAATTTTTTGGAAATAATGAAATAGGGGGGATAACGCCTTTTTTTTCAGGGGTGATTTTTCAAAAATTTATTTTAAAAAAAGTACTGACTAGCAAATAGTTTTTAGCAGCTCACAATTTTCTTCAAAACTACTTCAATAAGGAAAAAAATTAAAATTTGGAATATCTCTACATGAGGGGCTTATTGATTGGATCCCTATTTGTCTATTCTCCGTGTAAACCAACGATTCATCGTGGTGCCATCTCTCCGATGGGATGATATTTATTCCGGCTTGTTGTCGCCTGAACCCCGAGAACTGAGCGTCTAGTCTATCCTCTTTGTAATTGTTTGCAAATACCAGTGTCGTTTGGTGTCGCTCAGTGCTGCTCAGGATAACGAAACGTGAAATTTTGTTTACCTAACTTACATCAAAAATATTGAAAAACTCAATGACGAATTATTAGAGATGTGCAGAAATTCATCAAGTTACTAAATTAATTATCAAAAATACTGATAAAACCGTATCCTAGAATCACTTGTTCTGGCCTCCGAAAGCAGCAATTGGTCTTCATTTGTGAGTACTAAATGAAAAATACGAGTAATGAATTGCATTCTACTGATTAATTCATTTGTTACGGTCATCCGAATGAATCATGGAGAATCAAATAAACCAGAGTAGTTCAGATTGTAAATCTCCAAGCCACCTAATGAAGAAAAATCAAGTTTTTTGTCGTGAATTAATTTGTCTTTCCTTTTATATTGTATAATAGGTGCGATAGCAGTAATCAGAATAGCGCGTGATATTGCAGAGTAAGCTTTTATTGAAGAGGTCTCCAGTGATGAGGACACGTTTTTAAAGTTATCGAAGGAATTTTTAGTTCAGCTAACTAAACCGAAAACTGGTTGTCTGTGTGCAAAAATCTCCAATTGCTCGGTCTTTGCGGAAGTGGGCATTGACTTTAACCACGGATGAACCGTGGTTATTCTGAATGAAAAACTGGCCCTAAGAAGGTTCGATAATAGACCTTTTAATTCTGTAAATCTAGGAGAAATACGTATGACGTTGATGAATCTCAAAATCAGAAAAGTAATTAAAAATTCTAACAAATATTGATATTTAAGGAGATCTACATTTGAGCCCTCAAATATGATGAAGGAATTATTTGGTAAAAAAACTCCTAGGGAAACTAACTTATAGTGCCTTTCTGGCATTGTTTATTGAGTCGGTAAGCTCGCCGTGTTTCTCAGCAACCAAAAACATTTTTGAAGTGTTTCTCGATTTTTTGTTCAATCGCCCAAGTAGCAAACTTTGCGAAAGATATATGAACGTATACCAAAAGGGCTGACTAATGTCCGTCCAAAAGGTATCTTGCAGTCATACGATAACTTTTAGTTAACTTCTAGGTAACTTCTAGACACAAGTTACCTTTTTGGACAGACATTAGACAGCCTTTTTGGTATACTTGCAGATACCCTCCAGAACTGTGCTACTTGGGGATCGGTAAAACAAGTAACAACTGATAATGGGGTTGTCACTTGCTTTACCGACTGAACGGAAAATCGAACAACTACCAAAATTTTTTGGATTGCTGAGAAATGCGTTGGGCTTACTGACTCAGTAACTGGTACAAGGAAAACGCGTTTAGGCAAAAAAGTATCTGAAAATCTCGTGACTTTCAAATGAAAAGATCTGTAGAATAAAGTGCCGGATGTCATCAATTTGACTAGACACTCGGTCATTGTCCATTGTTTCGGCAACATTCAATTTTTGGAAAAAATTACAAAAACGCCTGTTTTCTGGAAATTCATTCATCTAGACGGACAATCTTCTGAGGTTTGCTCATTCGTATTGTTTTCCTTCCGAGCTAAACGAGCATTCAACAAAAATGTTACCTACCTTTCATTTTTAGGTCTTCATCACGTTCTGTCACTTTACTATACTTTATTGAAATAGAGAACATACATTTGTTTCCAAATTGATAAAATTTCTCTCTTGTAATGTTCACTAATCCTTCTATGTGTTGTAAATATAATATTCCATTAAAAAAAAATTGGTTTCTATATGTTTTATCTTATATATGAGCGATCTTCCAATTCAGTATATCAAAAATTGACTCAAAATTGTAAAAGTTTTTTTCTATTTTTCAATGAAAAGTATGAACGCAACCGGATCTCTGTTACTCAATAGTTAGTGGAGATATTGAAGAATGATTGTTTTTCTTTTAAAAACTTTTTTTTTTCATTCTAACTTGATTCCTAACGCGCGCGATCATGAACAATCAGCGCTTTAGAGCTAAAAATCAATGTCAATTAACTGATTCAAGAAGAAATATAATGCAACTAATACAGGACATTAGCTGGGGAGATGGGTGCCTCAAACGTGAAACCACCGATACGTATTCCTTTTCGTAACTTTGACTCGAGAATTTATCTTGTAACTTTGCAGGAATTTATGTAGTTAATGCACGCAGCAAAAACGTTTTCAAATAGAAACTCTCTCTGAAAATAAATAATTTCGAAATGAGAAAAGAACTCATTCTCATCGCTCCTTCAGGTGAGGTAGGCACTTCCACAATTATGCACGAATTGCAATAACTTATGACGGATTCTTCTATACATAGATATTCTTTATGCAATTTTAAAATTAGTTATGTTAACCCAAACATTTGGAATTTCAATCCACAAAAAAATCCTCTGTGAACGATTAGGACAGCCAAATTGAATAATTATATTTCACACTTTGTTACCTTTACAATTGAAACGAAAACAATTCTTTTTTTTTGAATCAACAATATATCAAATTCCTGAATTCACAGATTTTTATGAAAATGCCGTAGAATATTGTTGAAGGTGAAGGATTTTTTATTGGAAGTCCATAATTTTGACTTAAAAAAACAAGCACATATTTCCCCAAAGATGTTCACCGATACTAGGGTCCGAGGAACCCGTTATACCCCTCCCATCATCGGCCCACATTTGACGTCCTGGGAATTCGAGGAAAGTTCCGGAAAAATTAAATTATGCAGGAATTATCCCCATTCGAATCCATTGGTCCGCTACGTTAACGTCCCAATTAAAAAAATGGATTGTTTGGCCAAAATATTTAAGCAGAAAATTCAATTTTTCTGCAGAAAAAAGCACATAAAAAGCCCATATTTGTGAGCTCAAAAATATGGGTTCTTTTGGTCCCAATTTTAGAAATTTTCAACTGGGCTGGAACTTGAATTCTTATTTTTGAGATTCTTAACGTTACATTATTTAAATCTAAATTAGCATATGTTTGCCATCTGTGGCCAGTCGACATAGCTATACAAAACCAGTCGATATAGCTATACAAAATAACCGTCTTCTTGGTTAACATTGGTGACTCCAAGTCGTCATTTAAGATTTTCAATACAATCTAGAATCTTGTCTGCATCCTAAGTCTCCAACTTTTGGTTGCGGTGGGTTCATATAATAAACTCTTTTGAAAAATCAAGTAACTAGAGGTTATTCACCATCTTCCTTCTAATATCATATGTTAATTGCTGATCTGGTGCAGTTGAGCGTATTCTAGATTGGTCCTTCCTTGAATCTTTTTGTTACGTCAAGTGATTTCTCTATGCAAAATTTCCACCATTTTTTTAGGCTTGAATTGTATTGTTTTAATGTAGATTGTGATATCGATGCTAACATGAGGTCCGCAACATTTTCTGAGTAGTTTAGTCTCAAGTAATTTTCCCTGATATACGCGCAGTCACCAGGGTAAGCTTGGCGGATAGTGAGTGGCACTTGGTTCTGCATAGAGAACATAAAAGATTCAATGAAGATTTAAATTCTATCATTTCTCCTGTAGTTATCGATTTAAATAAAAAAAAATGAAGGAACTGCTGAAATGCCTTCAGTTTGGTCCATCTTAATTTTTTGTAAACAAAACGAAAATGATAACAGAGGGAGGGAAAGCATAGAAAAACCAGGGTCTCCAGACTACAGTTAGAACGTCGACTGCGTAAGAATCCGGGTTCCTATGCCAAGAACAGTAGATTCTACATTTAGTGTTCTCCGGCAGGCAAATAGATCAATTTTAGGCATACCAAAAGCTTTGACAATTATAGAAAGAGCATTGGACGAGAGCTTATTTTGCAACCCCTACCCTTATGTCCTAGAGGGTTGGAGCACCAATTTTTTTAGTTGGAGCACCAAAAAACACACAAAACACATAATTTTGACGAAAAAAACGACATGTTTTAACCTTGTTCCGCTAATTTTAGGGACGTAGGTTCTACTCCATATCAATATTGCTGATTCTCGATTCTCGCTCTGCTTCTGTGTTTTCCTTAGACGGTATGTAAGCAGCGACTAGCCGGAGGTTTCATGTTTCACACCACTGCCAAATTTGTTTGGATAGTTTGTTGAGTTCTAGAAGTCGAGTTCCACCCATTTTATTAATGTAATGAATAGCAGTCTGACAGTTGTGTAAGTCAACCGCAAATACTTTGAGAGCCAGGAAAATGGCTATAAGTTCTGACTAATTGATTAAATGTTGTCTTTCATCAGACGCCCATAATCCACCTGTCGATATACCCTCACAGTGTGCCCCCCAACCTGTGAGTGAGGCATCGGTAAAAATTTCTCAAGAGTAATGAGCTTTCTTTATGGGGTTGTACCCCTGATTCAAATCAGATCTCCACCATAGAAGTTAATCTCGAGTGTAACTCGGTATATGCTGTGAGGTATTTCGCACCTTTGCGGAACGGTACGAGAATACGCAGCCCTCGGTGACCGAATTTTAAAACCAAAAGTCGAGCGCTAGTACGTTTTCTCTCAAAACGCACAAAAAACGAAATCTGTAATTCACAAGATAGTCCAACGAACCAACAGCTGCCGACAGCTCAGTATATCATCTGCTGGGTTCCACCAAAAATGTCGTCCTATGAACATCTTGAAATGACTGGGTTTCAAACTTATCTAACAAAATAACGAAATCAGAATTTACGGGGATAAAATAATTTTTAAAAATTAGTGAATTTTGGAGGAAAAACTTATTTTTGTTCATTTTTTTCGCATGTCTTATGCGAATCACTAACAAACCGCTGAGTCGATCATTCTCCTAATCGAATTAGTACTAAGTTCCATGAACACCCATCGATTGAAAAAAAGAAAAAACGCCCCAAAAAAAAAGAAACGCAATTTTTGAAAATTCTATCCAAGTTAATGACCAACTGCGGTGGCAATTTTCATCATGGATATTCAGTCAGTCTCGAATGATATAAAATAATAATCATTTGTCGCTCGTGGCAGACAATTGCTCAGTACACTTTGTGTAATGTAAATATCTGGTTGCTTTTAGCAGACAACTGTAATGTATGAACAAGACAGAGGTGGAATATATGTATGTATTCTGTCACCGTTGACAGACAATTGTACGATTATATGAATTCTCCAACAGTTCAAATGAACCAATAGATAAAAAAAACTAAAAGTTAGAAGAAAAAAAAATCTTACTCTTAATGGAAAGTATTGTAATTTTCCTGAGAGCTATTTTCCAATGTTGTGATTCCGAAAGATCACAGCTGGTTGATAGAGAGTCAGACAATCTATAGAGAGTGCCGTCTGTATTAAGGTTACTACATACCCAGGTTGGTACAATGGATTTGTCACTGGGTTTCTTTCTGGCTTTCTGGTAAGTTAGATACTGTTGCGGGCCACTATCCAGAGTTCCTTATTGGTCAGATCCGCAGTATTGGCACATGCCCTGTTCCAGCCTGGGGTGGGATCTCGAGGGCACTCATCGATAGTATAGTATAGGGAGCACACGTGCAGATACTGTATCAATTGGTTCGCTGAGTGCTCTCGAAATCCCACCCCTGGAATATCTAGTAACCTTGGTCTGTATTAAAGTTATAGACATCGACAGTTTGATAACAGACAGGTGTCTCTACATACGGAAACCATAATACTTACGGTCATCTGTTATCAGTTCTAGATATCATATCTAAACCGCGCATTCCCAATATGGATTGCGTAACACA